CCTCCCATGCTCCCTCTCCTTATCCCACTATGAACAGCCTCCTTATATCAAAGAAAACATTCGGCATTTGGTTTTTGGGAATTGGCTAACTTCACTTAGCATTATCTTCTCTAACTCCCTCCATTTGCCTGCAAATGCCATAATTTTATTCTCTTTTATTGCTGAGTAATATTCAATTGTGTATATATGCCATATTTTTTAATCCATTCATCTATTGAAGGGCATCTAGGTTGGTTCTACAATTTAGCTATTGTGGATTTATTTACAATGTGTTTATTGCTGCTATAAACATTGATGTGGCCGTGTCCCTGTAGTATGCTGTTTTTAAGTCCTTTGGGTATAGACTGAGGAGAGGGATAGCTGGGTCAAATGGTGGTTCCATTCCCAATTTTCCAAGAAATCTCCATACTGCTTCCCATATTGGCTGCACCAATTTTCAATCCCATCAGCAATGTATGAGTGTACCTTTCTTCCCACATCCTCGTCAACACTTATTGTTGTTTGTATGCATAATAGCTGCCATTCTGACTGGAGTGAGATGAAATCATAGAGTGGTTTTGATTTGCATTTTTCTAATTGCTAGAGATGTTGAACATTTTTTTCAGGTATTTGTTGATTGATTGTACATCATCTTCTGAAAAGTGTCTCTTCAGGTCCTTGGCCCATTTACTGATTGGGTGATTTATATTTTTGGTGTTTAGCTTTTTGAGATTAGTGCTGGAGATTAGTGCTCTATCTGATGTGTGTGGGGTAAAGATATGCTCCCAAGATGTAGGCTCTCTGTTCACCCCACAGATTGTTTCTTTTGCTGAGAAGAAACTTTTTAGTTTGAGTTCATCCCATTTATGGATTCTTGATTTTAATTCTTGTGCCACAGGAGTCCTATTAAGGAAGTTAGGCCTAATCTCACATGATGGAGATTAGGCCCAGCCCAAAAATCTTTAATGCATGTCAGTGGAAGGGGAGAAATGGTATTTATATGATCTGTGTTGATGGGCTAAGGGGCTGGACTGGGCATGGGAACAATCCAGTTTATTCCAAGAACCACTCTTTTTTTTTTCTTTTTTTTTATTGATTGTTCAAAACATTACAGAGCTCATGATATATCATTTTTCGTACATTTGACTCAATTGGGTTTTGAACTCCCATTTTTACCCCAAATACAGATTGCAGAATCACATCTGTTACATACTCACATTTTTACATAATGGCATATTAGTGACTGTTGTATTCTGCTACCTTTCCTATCCCCTGCTATCCCTCCTCCCCTCCCCTCCCCTCCCATCTTCCCTCTCTACCTCCTCTGCTGATGTTCAATTCTCTCCGTTTTTTCCCCTCCCCCTTGCCCCTCATAACCTCTTATAATTTTGTGTGTCATTGAAGGTCTCCTACCATTTCCATATGCTTTCCCTTCTCTCTCCCTTTCCAAGAACCACTCTTGGAAGCACCATAGGTTGAGACTAAACACTGAATGTTGCCCCATGGAGGGGTGTTGGTTCCAGTGCTGCGAAGTGCCTGTAAGAGCCGGTGAGCAAGTTGCAGTCCATTCAGCTAGGCCACCTTTGGAGCCATCATGCCCTAGAGTCTTTTCCCGGAGTGCTTCTCTCCCATTTCCACAGCATTAACCTTGTGTTTCCAGAAGGCTACTGCTCAGCCACAATTTAGGAAACCTGGCTCCTCTCTGCTCCAGGTGTCACCTCATAGCCTCTATCAGAGATCACCATTGCTCCATCTTGCCCTGGCTCCTGGTTCACAGGCCAAACCCATGGGTAGTTGTGCCTGTACCTTTTCAGGTGCTGGGGATCCCCCACCATATCCCTCCTACCTTCTGTCCTTGATGAACCATTTAGAGACCCCTTTCATGCCTCTGCATAACCATGTATAGCATTCCCTCAGTTGGGAATGTCTGTTCCCTGAGAAGTGAAGGGATGAGGTAGATAGGTCACGCTCTCATTTGAAGGTGAGGGAATCAATACAAAATCCAAAAGATGAAGATCTACTCCTTCAACAATTAGAGTCCATTCGCTCATCAACTCTTTCCAGGACTTTTACAACAGCCTTCCAGATATTTTTCCTGACAGCCTCTCCCCACTCAAATCTATCCTCACAGCCTCCATTACTAAACTGTCCTTCATGATAGAAAGTATGGCGAATCATTTATCCTCAGGACTCAGTATCTTCATGGGTCCATGAGAATGTGTTAGGTTATATAAACTCTCATTTCTGAGTTTGCTCTTCAGGTCTGTGATTCTAAGGGATCTTTTAATAACCTTCACCATCTTATGGACTCAGGTGATGCCTATGGGGACATTTCCCTGTCCCCCATTTCTCCTGATCTTAGGAGAAACTATGGATTATATCCTATATACAACTAATGTCAATGAATAATTAATTAATGCTCTTGATGCGTAGGAGAATAGACAGAGGTTGACCACAAGAGGAGAGAGATGATGAATATTCTGTGCTTGTACTTCAGAATGGAAGTATTTGAAGGACTAGAATTTAGAGCAGGAAAGCCTCTAGCAGGAGTGGCCCAAAAGAAGCCACTGCCTACCACCTACAGGGAGAGAGGGGGCTGAGCTACTTTATACTTCAAATAGTAGTGGCAATAGCCAGGAAGAAGCAGTGCAGTATCAGACATTACATGATAAAAATCCATCAAGTCTGAATGAGAAAGCAAGGGGTCGGGGGTAGGAGAGTGAGTCACAGGTATGAGTGAACTATATGCAGAATGTAATTTTGACTATGGGCTCCCCAGCCTGTGACTATAGAAATTCGATGGCATTTAGATATGACTTCAGGTTCCAACTGTAACAGGAGGTATTTGAACTTCACAAAATATCCCTGAAGTTTTTTCGGGGGGGTATGGGTCTGATCAGCCAGCCTTCCCCAGGAACTACCACTGAAGTCTGCTTTCTATTGTCCTCGGGATGACATTCACCATCTAGTAAAGCAAGAAGCCTCCAAGGCCTCTGTTTCTCTGGCTCATTTAAGATCTAGACATAGAGCATTCTGGTTTTTTTTTAATTTACATCTCTGCAAAAGGTATTCAACAGGGTCCAGGGCAGGATCTCCCCCCAAACCCCCAAATTAGGTTTCAGTGATTCTGAGAACCAGGAGAGGAAGGATGCTCCTGTGTCGACAGCCAGGATCCTCTCTCCCGGGGTCCCATCTTTTCTTCACAGATGCAGGAACAAGGATGATGTGTGTGGAGCCCTGGGCTGTCTCCATCACTCACATCCAGTTCAACTTGTAAGCCTCAGGGCAACGAGTGATGACATCATCAGCTCATGACGTCACAGGAGAGCAGCAGAGACTGAGCCAGCAAACCTGCCAGTCCCAAGTAATGAACACTGATTCCTTGTGCTCAGACCTGCCAAACATCTCTCCAGGATCCATGTATTAATGAAGCACCAATCCCTCCTTCTGGGTTCCTCCTGTGATCCCACTCACATCCCCACAGACCTCTACCACATCACACCCGGGAGAGGCCCACAGTGCTGCCCACTGCCCTGCCCACGTGTGGCCGCCACTGCCTTTTCCTTTGCAGAAAGTGGCTTTGCCTCCTAGTTGCACATGTTTGACACTGTGATATCCTTTTTGATGATAAACCTCTCATTAGTTGGACTTTTTCCAATTTTATGTAAACCATACTGAGAATCCGTGATACGGATTTTGAAAACAACCAGATATTTTTATAGGCACCAATGAGGGATAAGCTGAACATTTTCTCATCTGATCACACATTTAGTTCTTAAAGACATAATTTTTCTTTATATCAACCTGTTTTTCCATTTGATTTTTGTGCTTTGGGTTGCTCACAGTGTAAGCATTTTTTTTCCATGTGTGTTCATGGGCAAACTTCCTCCTCCTCATTTTACCTTTCTTCACTTGTTGCCTGTGCTTTCTTACTTAAAAAAAAAATCTCTTTAGGAGAAACTCAGTTAAAATTAATATTTTATGGCCTATTTTCCCTTTTAGTTTTTAAAGTAGCTCTGATGCTTTTCTTTTGCCAACATACTATTTTTCCCCCCATTGGATGTGATTCACTCCATATTTTCTGCTCATTATTATCATTGATATTTTCTGACGTCTAGATTTCCTCTCCTTGTAGACAGTCACAGTGTGCTCCACAATGGTAGAAAAGATGGTTCTGATTTGTCATCTGAAGCACAGAGACATTTGGTAATAAAAATAGTACAGAATGAGGATGCTGAGTCCCTGCACAGAGTAAGTCATTGTTGGAGAGGTGACCCCAACAACATAACATAGCTTACAATGGTGCACCTATGCTGGTGGTTGATAAAATTCAGCCTGGTCTCAGGGGGTGGGAGGCAAATGCTACTGAGAGTACTCAGGAAGGATCATCATTTACTGCTGGTAAGACAAGAGAAATAACACTTCGAGGTCATTCTTGGCATTGCCCCAAATCCCGATTCTCTTCAATCTGCTTGTATCCTTTTCTATCAAATAAACCACACTTCACAAAGATCTTTTGAACTGTGACAGTGTCCTGTGATACCCTTTTCTGACCATGTTGGGCTACGGGTTTGTCTCCTTATAGGAAGAAAACCGTCCTGCATTTTCAAGCAGTCACTTGTAAAAATGTAAGCATAGACCTCACATAATCTGAGCTATCATTATGTATCCTTTTCAGTAAAATGATTTCGGAAATTCGGGTTTCAAGCAATTCCATTGTATCATCTTTTTTGCATCATTATGAACTTGCAATTCTCTGATGCCCTAACGCAGCCCTGTTTCTTTCCGTCTAGAATTCACAGACTAATTCTGATTCTTTTCCTTGTCCTGAGATGTGGAATCAGCTGTCCTCCCAAGGGACGCTGATTCCTTTTATCAGAGAATCACTTTAGAAGCCACAGGCACTAGGGCTACAAATAGCTTGTTCCACATTCCAACTGGCAGGATGACAGCAAAATACCCAACGGCACAAATCACTGTAAGCATAAAACATCCCTTTAAGAAACATCCATGGAGTCTTATTGACATTTCCAATTCACCTTTAGTTTAATAAGTTCTTTCACCTTACTCTAATTAGAAAGTTTATTAATCTGTTTTTTTTTCAACTCTTGGACAACTTATTTTTCTCCTTTTCATTAATGTTAACAACCATAAAAAAGTTATATATTGTCATACCAAATCATGGGTCTAAATTTCAATGCTGCCTCCCCCAAATTCAGGAGACTCCACATCGTTTCTTCTTTCTTGACCCTCAGCTCAGCCATTCTGAAGCTGGCTTCACAGTGTGCAGGTCCCATCGATTCTTTGGTCAACATCACTTTAGCACCAATATCAAAGGAAAAGAGTCCCAGCCTCCATCTAGGGAACCCCAAAGAAACTAAGAGTTCAGAACACTTGATATGATGCATAGATATCCTGTTTGCTTAAAAATAATAATAATCAAATTCTCAATTTAAAAAAAAAAATCCTCTGTCAATTTTCTCCATGTGAGTTCCCCAATTTGAAAATACATATTTTATAAATTTTTCTTTTAGCACTGCCTTTGTATATTTATGGATCACAGTTTACAGTGGTAAACTCTGCTTTCACAGAGGCCCTTGGGTAGATACTGTGGTTCCCTTATACCAGCCTGTGCTGATTCATGAGAATCAACTGTGAACTTGTCTTCCCCAGGTCTGCATTCAGGGACTTCATGTTCATAGTTCAAAATCAGCACCATGGAAATATTTACACCAGGGAAAATAGCAAGCACTCCTATATGTGTAGTAAGAATTGTAATGCTTTCCACTGCTGTTGTGTAGTTAAAAAATTTTTAAGAATTTTTAAAAATAAAAAAAAGAAAGAAAATAGCAAGCACTATAAATCAGGACTTTCTACCTAGAAACCCCATTGTTGAACATGTACCAGGGCAACACACCTCAGTTTTCCCACAACTATTCAAACTGTCAGAACATAAAATCAGTTAAACATCTAGAAATATCAGTCATAGGCCAGACATTAAGGTTGTGAATTTCCACTCAAGGAGTTCACATAAAATAGCATTTGAAGCTTCATGTGATTTCTACAGTATTTACTGGGTTGAGTTCCCCAGGACCAATCTTTAAAAAACAAAAATTGTAATTGGATGACAGCACATTTTCCTTATGATATCCAAGGCACGTTACATTTAGCTATCCACCAGTTTTCAAGTAATTTCCAGATATGTTTGATCCATCCCCAGAAGGTTTTATTTCCACAACAGACAAACAGAGAATTTAGTAATTTCTGGTTATTAACATTACTGGGAGAATATCCAACTTTTTGCATGAGTTAATACACACTATTCTCTCCCTTCCTGGTTCGTTCTGTGGTCATTGTGTGTTTTCTGGATGAGGAGGAGGACAAAGCCCAGCAAGCTCTGGATATATGGTCTAGCGTTATCAAAATCCAAACAGGCAACAGGGATATTAGGCTTCCTTACTGCATCTGGGTGGGACTGGACCAGGAATCTGTTTCACTCACCAGGGGTCTGCCATGTGTTTCCTCCCTGTCTCCACTCTGTCCACTCTAAATAAATCATGCTATTTATCCTCAGGAAGGTACTGGCCTCAGGTATAACACCACTGGAAATTGTTCTAGTAGAGGTAAACTATTTGTTGTTGATTTAGCACCTAAGTTTAGGCAAGAAGAACATTTCTACCTGAAGGTTCTGTACAGTTAAATTCCCCTGCCTTTATATTGGTACTTCCAGAGGGCCATGGAGTCCCCAAGTGAGGAAATCAGGACACTCTGGCCTCAACCTCCAGCTGCCTCCAAACAGTACTTGCGCCATGACTTTGACCCTTATCTCGTCTGAATCCACTACTCTTCCTCCCTCCTCTAGCACTTTCCTCTCACCCCACCCCATGCCTTGAACAAGACTTCTGCTGACATGGCTCTCCTACTTACTCTCGCTTCTTATGCTTGGCCAGGTCTGGCTGTGCTCATTCAAGGACACAGAGCTGTGACCTTTTGAAGCTTCAGGCATCTGCCTGTGCTTGGCCACACCAGCTCCCAGCACAAGACTGCTCCTAATGCTCTTCTCTCTCTGATCCTCTGAGTTTCCTTCCACCCTAATACTGTCCATTTTACATCCCTCCTCACTCTGCAACATTCTATTATCTTCTACTGTTTCCTACTTATTACAATGAGAAGGTTTGGGTGGTGGCGAGAGCTGTATTTCCAGTTCTTTCCTTTTCTTCCCCCATGTCAGAAGTCATCCCACATCACGGTCACAAACCCAGATACAAAACTGATTCAAGACAGACATTTTTGTTTCCTAAGATTTATAACCTTGGGAGACACCTCAGACTTTTCATCAGTCGCCCACTTCTCCCTCCATCTGGCTAATTCTGTTAACCATGCAGTGTTTAGTTTCAGTTATTTCTTCAAATCAGGAATTATTTCTAATTCTTCTTTTTGATTTCCTAGATGATGATTTTTTGATATCCTCTTATTTTGTTGTCAATTTTATTCTATTGCATTATAAGGAAAGTATGAGATCATATGGCTTCTGATTAGTGGGCAATAGGCAATACGGTATTGTGGGTTGTTACAATGTATACAAAGTGTGTCATGTTGCATGTATCATTTACTGCTTGCTTTTTAAACTCCTCATTTTGTTTTCCAAATTTATCTACCTCATGCGGGTAGGTCTGATTCATTGATTTTTAACTGCTGATTGATTCACTCATTCTCTGTTGGTGGACATTTCTTTCTTTTTTTTTTTAAATCGCAAACAATGATTCATTGAATAGATTTATGTACATATCATTTTCCTAAAAGTGTAAGTTTTCTCTAGGAGGGAGTCCTAACATCATAGTTGTTTGATTACAATAGTTTGCCTTGTTAGTAGCCCCAGATTGCGCCCCAGGTGGTGTAATAATACATAATTTCTCATCAGTAGCTTATGAGAATTTTCCTCACATCCTTGCCAACACTTGATAATATTTTTTTTTATTTTTGCTATTTTGATGGTTGTGCAACATAAATTTTTTTCATATCCCTGAAGAAAGGCATAAATCTTCAAACTGAAGAAACTTGAGTCCTGAACAGAATAGAGATAAATCCATACTTAGTAATATCATGATAAAGTGTCAGAACACTAAAGAGAAAAAACAAATCTTAAAAAGAACCAAAAGGAAAATATAATTTACTTACAATAGAAGAACAAGTAGACTGGTAGCATATTTCTCATTGGCAATTACAGAGGAAGACAATGGGGTGAGATCTTCAATGTGCTAAGGAAAGAAAACACTTTCAGACCATAATGAGTCAAGGGCTCGTTGCCTTTTATCCCAGGATTTCATCTGTACTGTATGTATGTGTCAAATTATCATACTATAACCCATAAATATGTATACTTCTGGGTTGAACCTTCAGTGATTCTACCAAGGATCATAACCATGCATTCCCCTATTGGCCTCCCTAGCTTTTTAAAAAATATTTATTGCAGGCTGGGGTTGTGGCTCAGTGGTAGAGCACTTGCCTGGCATGTGTGAGGCACTGGGTTCGATCCTTAGCACCGCATAAAAATAAATAAATAAATAAAGATATTGTGTCCATATACAACTAAAAAAATATTAAATATGTATATAGCATTTGACCAAAAGGGAGAAATGATATCCGAAGCAAGGCAAATCCTAGAACTTCATGCCCCCCAGCATTATCACTGATCCAGAGTCTGCATATAAGCAAGGAGAGACAGGAAGAATGTCAGTCCTGAGCCAGCTCAACCCCAGTCTCTCCAATCCTTGAAGATGCATCATCTTTGCTTCTATCCCTTGTATCTGAGAGAGCTGAGGGAACCTTTTTCTGAGATTAAAAATGACTGAACAAAAAGGGTCAAATGGGACTTGGAGAAAATGACAGACAGAGAAAGAGAAAAACAATTTAAAGGGTTCTAGTCAGAGATGGCATTTTTAACTGACTAGAGTTGTAGAAGTCATAGAGGGCAGGTGGGGTATATAGCTCAACCACTGTGAAAGATGAGAGACAGAGGCAGCCACAAAAACCATTTCCCATCAGTGGGTAAACCTTAACAGACCCACATACCAACACTCTCTAACTCAGGAAACAGAGTGCCTCAATTTCTCTAGATACTCCTACCCCAACACAGAAACCATGTAGATCTTATGAGTGTCCTTACGGTACATGTCTTCCGTTATTTTTTATTAAAAATACAGACAACATAGTCCATTTAAATCATGGAATTTCTGAAGCTGAAAGCTTCTTAAAGTGCCTTTAATCCAATTCCTCCATTGAATAGATTAGTGAATCAAGAGACCACAGGTGGAATTGTTTAGAATGACCTCATTAACTAGTGACAGACCTAGAGAGAGAACTTGGACCTCCTAACTCCTGAGTCACTTCTACTTCCCCTCACCACACTATCTCTGCATCCAAATGAACTAAAAATTTGGAGTGATTTTGCTAAATATCTGATATAATGATCTGCCTATAGCAGGCACTTACTAAATGCTGTCTATCTAATGGGATTTTCTTTCCTTTTCTCTCTCCTCTCCATTTTTCCTCTATGAGAAAGTTCTTGGATTTGATGATAAAGCTTGCTATCCTCAAACCCTGCCTTTGCAATGGGAGACAACACCCACTGGGCACCAGAAATGTTAGCCATACCTCACACCACTCCGTATGCAAATGGAGCAAGAGAAGGTGGCTCAGAGGAGACAGTACACTGACATATGAGAATCAAATGTGACCAGGGCAATTTGGGGTAGCGTCTGCTCCTAACCTAAGCCTTCCTTGAGTTCAGTTAGAACTTTAGCATCTCCCCCAAAAGAAATCAGACTCTAAAAAAACGAAGGCTTCAAAAGGCATTGAAGAATGAAATCTCTCACAATCCACATGGTAAAACTTGATACAAGATTTCTATTCTCTTCCCCAAGTCTTTTTGTTTGTTTGTTTGTTTGTTTTTGGTGTGTGGGTGTGTGTGGTATTACACTTGAATTTGCACTCAGGGGGATCTCACACATGCTAGACGAATATTCTACACTGAGCTACATCCCCAACCCTTTTTTCCTTTATTTTTAGGTTCTTACTCAGTTGCCCAGGCTGGCTTTGAACTTATGATCCTCCTGCCTCAACCTCCCAAGTAGCTGGGGTTATAGGCGTGCACCACAGCACCCTGCTTCCTCACATCTTGTATTTTGGTAGTCTCTGCCTTCTTCCTTCTCCCACATAATTCTGAAACATCCTCATACTTGGCCCAATGCCCTTGACTTTATCCCAGGATTTCATCTATACTGTATGTATGTGTCAAATTATCATACTATACCCCATAAATATGTATACGTCTTACATGCCAATCTAGAACATCTTTTAGAAACTATCAGTGAAAGCAAGTTAAGAAGGTAGATTCATCGGTGACGTAATGATCCTGTGGAGACCTGGAGGGCATGTTGGGACTGTGGCACCAGGTCTCTGGGGCTTGGAGAGATCTGGAGCTAGAATGTACCTGTTGTGGGTCAGCAATCCCGCCGGAGGCAACGCTGGTTGCCTGGTGGTGAACAACTGCTGAGTCAGGATGGTACTGTTTTAGGCAGAATCTGTGTGTCTTCCTTAAAAAAAAAAAAAAAAAAAAAAGGACAGTAAATCACCATGTCCCTAAAATGCGCCTTTCTGTTCCCAAAACCTAGCCAATTAAGAGAACAATTTTGAGAGTGAGTATGGGCCAGGACCCTGGCTTTCTCTCGTGCATGCTGGGAATCAGGGCAAGTTAGTGCTATCTTTAGAAAACTACTTTCTTGCATGTGCACCAAGTTCCTTGGGGGTGCTAACCAAGAAACAGTGGGCCAAAGCAAGCTAAGTTGATGCTGCTTCTGTCACCTAACCTATAAACCTCCCTGCCTGTGGTAGCTGGTGCAGATCAGAGCACTGTGGAGAGGGAAGTGCTCGTCCAGACCGCCACCCCTGGACAAAGTCATGGGGGAGAGGAGGTGCTGTTTTCTGGTGAAGTACTCAAGGCACTGTGTGAAATGGAGGTGCCCCTGTCCAGCCTATGGCCACTGGACTTTCTGCGGAAGCACCTGTCCAGCTCATTGTCACGGGATGTTCTTTGTACACCTTTCTCAATAAACCTTATGCCTCATATCCCATCTCCAGGTGTCTTCTTTGGTCTCCTGGAGACTATCCCACTGCATTAAGCCCAATTGGGTTGTGTATGTTTCACTCAATTAGCAACCAAGGACCAAATCTGGAGACAGAAGACAGTAAAATATGTATAAAGTCCAGAGCAATGAAAATGTAGAAAGATTAGCTTTTAAAAAAAAATCTGTGAACCGATATATTCTGTGAGTTTAAGTTGTAGAAGAATAGATATTATGGTCAGAGGTGAATGTGTTGGGATGATGTATGAAGGCAAGAAATGAAAGAAAGATAGGACCTGGAAGGAAGGAAAGGGATGGCAGTACAGATTGATTTGAGGGGTAGAGAGAAGGCCATGGTCTCTCTTTGTCCCTAACTGTTCCTGCCCCCACCTTCCACCTACCAAAATCAGTGAGCAAATCAGATAAGATCTCAAGTCTCAGAGAGAAGATCAGAAAAATAATGGACTTGAGGTTTTGAATAAATACTCTATGTGACCCAAACTGCTTGATCTTGCTATTTGAATGAGAGGAGAAAATTCATAGGGAAAGAAATGGACGGGATCATTTTTGAAAATAACGAGTGAGTGGACAGATTGCCACAGTAAGAAGACAAAACATCAGGGAAGTCCGATGATATCAAAATCCACACTAACAAGAAAAACCCACACCATTTATACTCTTAAGTCAAATAATGAGGTGTCAGCAAGGCGTCAGCTGGAAGAAAAAAAAAGTGTTAAACTTGAGAAATGGTTATTTTTTTAGTTTGCAGCCAAAGCTGCAGATGAAAATAAATGCAAAGAATCTGCAGCTGGCAGTAGAGATTCTTAATGATCCCCATCAGCAAGAAACCAAGGTCTGCTGAAGATCTGTCTCAGGAAGCTGAAAGAAAAAGCTTTCCAAAAGAAGGAACAGAAGCTGTCAGCAAAGGGAAAAGTGAGTCTTCTCAAAGAATTGAAGAAATAGAGAATGATAGTGAAAATAGAGGATGTAAAAATTTGCTGGATCACGGTGAGAACAAAAACCAGACCAGACCACCAGACTTTTTTCTTCTTAATGCAACAAGATTTCTTTCTGGAGAGAAGACAGAGGCTGTTCTACCTGAGGCAGAAATTGGAGATAGCAAACCCAATTGATGTGCCTTAGGAACCAGAGAAATAAAGCCAAAATCCAGGAAATTCTATAAACAACTCCCAACCAATCAGAGGAGCTGAAAGGTAGGCTAGCTCCCTGGGACACTCCATGTTAGAGCATCATGAGATGCTCTGTCCCTCATGATGTCATTTATCTTGATCTTGTTGTGGAAGACACACACATGCCTACTCATGTTTAGTTGTGAATGGGCTTCCATCTGGAAAGAGAGGGACATAGGAGTTGGTGGGAAAGCTAACCTCTGATTTTTATACAAATGTGATTTGATGAATAAAAATTTTCCAGAATGTCTATTTAGTCCCATGCTCTCTAGATGATAGGATACCCCACCATCTTGATGATGGACACAATAAGCTATCTCCACTTTATCAAATATATCTGCTTAGAGCTCAATCTGGGTTGTACTTGGTCCACCAAGGAAATATTGTTAATATGTCATAAAATGTCTGTCTCTATATTGACCCAGGTATGATTTGGTTAGTCATGAGTGGCCTAATAAGCTCTTTCTGCATTAAGGGCAGGTTTGGTTAAAGTTGATGCAGATAATGTCCCATCTTTATCAGGAAGGCTTGTTATGAACTCATACAGAATGAAATTCTGCCCCCTGCAGCCACCTTCTCAAACACGGACTCAGACACTCTCCCAATTTTTCTTCCTTGTGATTTTATATCACTTCACAAGACAAACGAACCTGCTGAAGGGACTTTGAAATTCTGACCCTCTTACCATAAGAGGGTATCTCTTTTCTGGATGTTAATTACTTAGGAATATCTACCTTTCTTTTTTTCTGCGAAATCCTTATAGCTTTTGTGTTCTAGAGAGGATCCTGCCAGCCTCTCCAGCCACTGCCACTTACTCCAGGGGCTTCTGGCCTCAGATTATGGATGGACTCTTGGACCCTTGGGACAGTTCATGTGCTTCAAAATCCAATCAAAATGTTACTTTGGCAATTAGACTTAACATTGTTTTAGAATTTAATTTTAGGAAAATTTTTGAGCCAAATGATTCAAATCTGATAGATATTTGATTTACTGTGAAGTAAAGCTACTACTTGAAGCTATAGCCCCCACCCTTTTCTCTACTTTCCTTAGCCCTATTTTATTTGTTTTTGATTTAGTTTGTATAGCAAATGTAGCTTATGCGACTGGAATGGATTTTTAGTGCCAGGTTGGATACAATCTTTTGTACAAATTTGTTTTAAAGTTATAGGAATAATTATCAGCAGTATTTGCTAATCTATGCTCTTTTGCACACCTGTACTTTGGATAAACCTAGCTAGTTGACCAAAGTCAAATCACCAAAATGGCAACAGGTGGATTGTTCCCTAAGAGGATATAAGTAGTCACTGAAATACCGGTCTACTAAACCCAAACCTATGATGTGATACCAAGTATTAAACTCTTCAATTCAGAAAATTATTTAGAAAATGACTTTGAGAAGGATGATATCAGTATTTGCTTTCAGCTGTGAAGGTATGTATTGTCAGATTCTTTTACTCCAGTGGGATCCTTTATCTATATAAAATCAAAAGTCAACATGGAGACTAAAATATATTTTGGTTGATAAAGAGGAATGACCTAGGTTGTCTCCACCTCCCTCTCATCTCATAAAGTGGCATTTCCAAGTATCCCAGGGCTCCATCAAGCTTAGTTTAGAAGTTTATAATTTGCAACATGATGGAAGTAAGATCAAGGTCATGGTTTCAATCACCCTGGGGGCTGTGACTACTCTCCAATTCACAAGTGCAAAATACAATATGGTGTAAGATGGATGCATAGTTGATACTTGATTTAAAAAATCATTATTATCACTACCCTTAAGCAGCTATTCAGGCAAGTGTGTACTTATTTCACAAATTAGAAGAGTACACAAAATCTCTCCAAATAATAATTATGCAACCTACTCTTGAGTCAGTACTGTCTTTATCCATTCACTATATTCTACTTAAGCAGGCAGTAAGAACCTGTTAATGGTGTTATCAGCACTGAGACATGAGCTATGGAGTCAAGCTGGAAGCCCTCCCAGGACCCCTCTAGCCCTGAGCTTCCATAACCCTCTGGTGTTAGAACTGCACACCAGATAGACATCAAATAAATTATTATCTTTGACTATATAATCTAGTAAAATTTTTATAGATTCCCATAGTCAAATTTTCCCCATGAATATTTATTCCTTGTGAAGATGAAATTGTGACTTTATTTCTCTCTTTTATCTTTCATGAGAAACCATGATGTGGCCAAGTTTAGATCTATCACTTAGGTTTAAATATGAAGTTGTGGGCAAGTATAGAGTGGCAAGATATTGGCTTGAATTTTAAATTAATAAATAAAAAGAAATTAAAATTCATCCAGGAAAATAATTATTCTAGAAGATTTCAAAGATGTGGGTTGAAATGATTTCTCTATAATCCTTTTCTCTGTCCTCAAATCTCTGGCTCCCACCACCATCACCACCACCACCACCACCATTGCAAGCAGGCTACCTCATCTCCTACTTTATAGAGAAAAATCAAAGCCACAGGCAGGAACCACTCCAAACTCCTACCATTTACCCTGCAAAACCATCTTCCTTCCCCCTTTTCCAGTGAAAAGCTCCCCCTGTTCTGTATCCATTCCCCTCATCTGTACCCCCAATTCTTACTTCAAATCTCTTAGGTTATTACTTCCTTCAACTATATGCTCCTCTTTCTTCACACACCCACTCTGCTGCTTCCTTCCCAGTAGCATTGCAACATGCACAAGTGTCTCCTTGGTCAACACTCGAGCCATTGACTTATTCTGCCACTTCCCCTCATGGTCAAGCTAGGTTGAGGGAATTGCATCTCCATTCATGAATTCTCTTCCCTACCTTCCATTCACTCCACACAGAGAGCCCTGTAGTTTCCTTGTTGTTAAATACAACAGATGCCTTTGACTTCTCAAAAAAACTAGACTATTGAAAAGTTATTCTTATTTTTTAAAAAAACAACAACAATCAAACATCCATTCGGTTAACAAGTTTTATTTTGAATTCTTACTAATGCCAGAAACTTAGGATGTAGCAGTTAAGTCGATGCTGATGATCCTGGGGTTTACATTAGAAAAGGAAAAGAAGTCCAGTATTAAACAAGTCAACAGATGAACAAGACACGGTGATAGAGTACTAAGGAAGTGGACGAATCTTGATGTGATAGAATAACTACCGAAATGGAACTTTATTTTTAAGGGAAGCAACTCTGAGATGATGTTTGAACTGGAGGCACCTGGACAAAGACTGTGGGCCACAGAATCAGAGCCAGAATGAAGAGCAAGAACACAGCCCTGCAATAGACCAAACACCAGGTATACAGGACCACAAATTGTTCACATGCACAAGAGGAGAGAACAAAAAGAAGACATGGTCCTGCTGGGAAGGAAAGTAAAGGGCCTCTGAATCATAAGCAGGATGAACCGCTCCTAGTAGAACCATGATTCTTGTACCCAGTAGGCTAAGGCATGGCCTCCCTGACCTTCCAATGGCCTCCTAAGTAGAAAAGAAATGATGGAGAGATTGGGAAAGAGGAGGGGAATGACTTTGCTGCTGGCATTTTTCACCCTTCTGTCCCAGCTTTGGGATCCAATAAACAAATCATCTAAATTTGGCCTTAAAACAAGCTGAAATTGCTTCTAGAGCAGACCCAGATGGAGCCTGAATAGAGAGGCATCTAATCCAACCCCTCTCTTTCCACCCCGCTCTTCCCGCAACTATGGACTGAGTAGAGAGAGTGGCCCAAGAGACCAGGGCCTCTTAGGCTTTGGATACATTAGAACCCTAAATCCAGGCCAAGTCCCTGAAGGAGGAGTGTTAGTGTGGTCTTTGTTCAATGAGCTTCAGTGGTCAGCTTCCTCAGGGGGACATGGGTAAGGAAGAGCTCTGCAATATTTGTGCCTGGGAAAGAAAATGAGAACCCAAAGACATTCTCCCAAAGCTAAATTCACACACACACACACACACACACACACACACACACACATGCTAGTCCACAGGAGCACAAAGCTGATCTGAGGGCCTTCCGTTTGACTCAGGGACAATCTCTCTTCCCACAGCAAGTGCTTGTGTGTAGGGGATGTGTAGGGACCAGGTGGAGTAGGAGTGAGGGTTCGTTCTTATGACCCTGATCAGGAGCCCATACTTGAGATCAAAGTCCTTCCCACGAGTTGGGGGCTGCAGACAGTGGGAGCAAAACAGAATGGAGAGATGGGAAGTCAACCCCCAGCCCTAACCCACTATAACTGAGTTCATCTTCCCCCCCCCCCACCAACATACACCATGGAGTGGCCTCCTACACAGCAAGGGAAGACTTGGACGGCTTAACCTCCTCTAACTAGTCCCATCCCACCCTCCGTCCAAGATAAACTCCTCTATTTTTCTTAATCCCACCACCCAGTGAGACAGAGATGTCAAGGGGCCAGGCAGGGAAGGCACTGAGGCACCAGGCCCAGCTCTCCCGGGGATCATCATTTGGAAGTAGAACCCTCTGAGCACTCATTCTAGTCCCACAAAAGTGCCCTGGGGCCATATGTCTATGTCCTGAAGTTAGGAGGGACAGGTGGGCAGCAGGAGAGGATGGCAATCAGACAACATGGTTTAAGCCAAGTAATGCCCAAGGCCACACAGTTCTAAAGCCATTGATTCTCAGTTGAAAAGTGTCCAGCTGGACCAGACAAAGCTCAAACACTCTGCCTAAGTCTCCCATCTCCCAACACTGGAGTTTCAGGCATGAGCCACTGTACTCAGAAAATAGGAAAAATTTTAAAACAATATTTTAGAGCGTGTGTTCTCATTTAATCTGGGACCACAAGATGTTCACTAGCCTCGAATGAGGTTGGAGACGGGCCTGGGGGGAGGGGGGGAGAGTAGGTACTCATTCATGCCTTTTTCTCTCTGCTTCTGACACAGCATGCTAGCTATATCTGACACAAATTTAGATAACTCCTCACCTCTCAGGATTTCTTTGCATTTCTGAGTTATATGAAAGCCTGATATCTTACTCAGAAAATAACTCACACCTTCCCCAGAGTCAATTGTGCCTCTCCGTGCAGGGAACTGGTTAAGGTGTTCAAATGGGAAATAGATAGCACAGGGGAAGAGAGGAATCCAGATGAAGAATTCGTTACAAAGAAGGTCAAGGATCAAAGTCAGGCTCAGCAACAAGATGCCAGGGATGGGGGGAATAGAGGTTTGGAGGATAACATGTAGGCTGGCACATGAGCCATGCTTACTCAAAGATCCTGGAGATCTGAGCACATCACGGGGAGGAAAGGACTGAAGGTGAAACCAACTGAGTTCTGGAATCCAAGGAGCTGCTGGGACCCACTAAAATGGGGGCAGAACACAGGGAGATGCCCCTTCTCACCTCCAGGCAGGCTGCCCTGAAACTCCCATATCATGGGAATTTGGGGCAATGACAGTTGCTATATCAGCAGGTGTCTGCCCCTGCATCATATTCAAAGCCAGGTAATTGGTCCAAGGGCAGATGGGTTGCGAAGCAGTGAGTCCAGGGGCTGAGGCCATCCATTCACTTGAAACTCCTTTATCACTTCTTTCTTGGAGTTGGCTTGGTTCTTCTTCTCAATCTGGTTTACAAAGAGAAAAAGAGAAATTCATAACATTGGTAAGTGAGGTCCTCTCTCTCTCTCTCTCTCTCTCTCTCTCTCTCTCTCTCTCTCTCTCTTTCTCTACTCCCACCTCCACTACCATACTCAGTTATTATAATTATTTATTTGTAAACTACCTTTGAGTAGTCTTTTTTTTTCTAAGAAATCCAGTCTTTGACTCCCCCTCTGTAGTTATCAATTCTGACAGCCTGTGGTCTAAATTAATATGATAATTTTTTTCCTGGACTGAGACTGGGAAAAATATTGTTTAAAAAATTCTCCTATTTTCTAGGTGAAGTGGCTCATGCCTCTAATCCCAGTGATGAGAGATGGGAGATATAGGCAGGAGAATCACAAGTTTGAGGCCAGGCTTGTCAACTTAGTGAGATCCTGTTTCAAAAAATAAAAAAGATTGAATATGCAGCTCAATGGAAGAGCATCTCTGGGTTCAATCCCCAGTACAAAAAAAATTCTCCTATTTGCAGATAATAGTAATTGTTGCTTTTCTGGTTACTTGTTGCAGATCATTTTAAAACATAAAAATACACAAATGGAATTCAAGTGCACCCCAAGCCTGGAAAAATGTTCTACTACCCATCGACATAAAGAATTGACACAGAATATATGCACTCACATTATGAAATTTTGGTCATGTTCACATATTCCTAACTTGATGGGGAAGAGACTACATTGTGTTTAGGAAAGGGATAAATAACATCCAACAAATTCATTATAAATATGTAGTCCCATAAAAGGATTGCTCACATTCTTTCTAACAAAAGTGTCATATGACATCTCCTTCAGTTTATTAGAGAGCAGAACAATTTGTGACTGTCTTTGAAACTAATGTCATTTGAATACCTTCAGAGCATCCTCAAAGTTCTTGATTAAAAGAATCAAAGAAATAAACAACAAGGACCATGCATTAGAAATGTAGCACAC